ACCCAGCACCGGAATCAGCGGAGCAGCGAGGCCTCCCAGCACCGGGATCAGCGGAGCTGCGAGGCCTCCTGGCCCCTGGAGCAGCGTGACAGGGGGCAGCAACCAAATCCCCTGACCACCCTGCAGCTCTGTGTGTGACAGGGGGTGGGACCACAACCACCCCATCCGCCCTGCTCTGTTTGTGACAGGGGAAGGCACCCCACCCCCCTGATCAGCCCTGCTCTGTGTGTGACAGGGTGCGGTGCCTTAACCCCCCAATCGGCCCTACCCTGAGCAAGACTGAGGGTGGCATCACAATCTCCTGATCCTCCCTGCTCTGTGCGTGACAGGGGGCAGCGCCCCAACTCCCCAATCAGCCCTGATCTGAGCCCGACCAGGGGCTGCACCTAGGGATTGGGCCTGCCCTCTGCCACCCGGGAGCAGGCCTAAGCCAGCAGGTCATTATCTCCCGAGGGGTCCCAGACTGTGAGAGGGCACAGGCTGGGCTGAGGGACTCCCCCCCCCCCCCCCCCCAGTGCACTAATTTTTGTGCACCGGGTCTCTAGTAGCTATAATAATTAGTTGACTCCATTCTTTTATTTCTGAAACACAGAGAGTATCCTATTTTATATGAATACACTTCTGCTCCCTCCAGCATTCTGATTTCAATATTTTAGTTTAAATGAGCATTTCCTAAAGTGTGTGCTATGGAGCCGAAACCTTGGGGAATATTAATAATTATTATGAACAAACCAAACAAACAGAAAAAAAAGGTTCCCTGATCGCATGAATTTAGGAAACACTAGGTAAAAAAAATGTTGGAATAAGGGTTCTCAGTGTGTTCAACATACTAATGAATAGTGTGACTCTTCAGAAGGAAGATATAGTGGTAAACCTGCTTTGCAACACAAGGAGACAAAAGGCTCAGTGAACAGAATTTCAAGTTCTTGTGGGGAGCTATCCTTCTTCTGAAGGCCTGCTCCCAGTCAATCCCTATGTGAGTCTATCCATTCAACAATCAAAGTTTCAATGGACTGGCATAGAATGCTGATTCGTTCCATTGTTCTCAACATTCATAATGTAGACAATGTCAAACAGAGCTGTACAATCAAGCCATGACTTGAACAATCTCAAGATAACGCTTTTAGGAAAAATTTAATCAGGAATTGATCAGCCAGGATTTGTTGACCTGACATGAGACATAATCCTAAAGTGGGTGAAGGGATCCTCTGTACACAGCAAGAAGCTATGTGGTCTAGGTCAGGTCCCTCTAGGGCAGCTGTTCTCAACCTTCCTAATGCCGCGACCCTTTAATACAGTTCCTCATGCTGTGGTGACCCCAACCATAAAATTATTTTTGTTGCTACTTCATAACTGTAATTTTGCTACTATTATGAATCATAATATAAATATCTGATATGCAGGATGTATTTTCATTGTTACAAATTGAACATAATTAAGCATAGTGATTAATCACAAAAACAATATGTAATTATATATGTGTTTTCTGATGGTCTTAGGCGACCCACAGGTTGAGAACTGCTGCTCTAGGGCTTCTTTCTTTCCCTTTTTCTACTTTCTTTCATCCAGTCTGCTTCCATCCAGAGAAAATAGGAGTCTAGGTTGCCTTTATCTGCCCTCATTTAGGAACACCACCCAGGAAAGGCTTCCCCAAATCCTTAAATTACCTGTTTCTGATCCACTACAATCAATATATTTCTATTCCTCATTATTACTAATCACACTCTACAAAAATTTATTTCAATTCAACTAATTCCTATAGATTAAACAGACTTTCCATATGTATATGATTGTGAAACTCTTTGTACATCTATTGGTATTCCTCTTACTCATCTTCAGCAAACACATTCTGGGAATAGTGACATAAGCCAAGGAATGAATCCAGGAAACCAGGCAGGAAACAGAAGAGCTTTCACAGGAACCAGGGCTGACTCACGGCTTATCTTTCCCACCCGGCATAAAAAGAGAATTATATGAAACACAACTTGCATCTATGTAATATGGTCAAGGAAAAGGAGATGTTTTAGGGTGAGGATGCAAAGGAGTTTCTTGGCAAAATCATTACCACTGTTATCAACTGCTTACCCTAACTATACATATAGACCCTCTTATGTTGAAAGTGGAATAAAAATTTGGAGAAAAGTTGGGGGTGGAGGGAAATTATCCAAAATCATACAAAAAAATAATTCACTTTCAATTTACTCAGAGGCAATTTGATATATTGAGGATATTTTCCATTTAGTCACCAAGCTAAGAATTAACCAATTTTTTTAGCTCTTCCTGTAGTTATCAGTGTTCTTCAGTTCATATTAACCTCATGTTCTTCCTAGGAGTTCTTATTATATTTCTAATCATCTTATATCTGAGCAGATATCAGGACACTGCCAACCCTTAAAACTTTTGAAAGGCCCTCAGTCTTCAAACTATTGTGCCCTAGAAATGAAAAGCTACTTCCTTACCTTACATCATAAGCGGGTAATGGAAATCTTACAGACCATTCAAATTTTCCTTATTGCTCTCCTGGAATTACTAGGCCACTGTATTACATTAATTCATAGCATTAGGTAAGTTACATTCTCCCAAACTACTAATCATTAAGGTTTTGCATTTAAATATCACCACAGTTATATGCATAACCCAGGGATACAGACAACAGTGTGGTGAAGGCCTGGTGGGGGTGTAGGGTATGGGGTAGAGGGAGTCAACAATAAAGATAAATTTAAAAATGTATGTATCACCACAGTGACTTTTATGCAAACAAATCTCTGCAGCTAATAATGATTTAGAGTTAAATTTCTTTTTCTATGCTATGGTGAGAGGCAGCTTAGGAAAGAAATGTACCTCATTTTCTCTAGAATATAAAATATTCCAAGTTGCAAAAATTAATACTTAAAAAAAGAAATGTTAGAAATAATACAGAGAAATATACATAGATACCCAGTGTATGGCTGCCCGGGGACCTCAATAAAAGCAGGGGAAAGAGCAATCCTTATAAAGATAGAAATTTATTATTTTCCTAAATGATTCTGCTTCTTTTTTTTCCTGATGAGGATAAAAATGAAAAGAAATAAAAGAGCTGGAGGGAGAAGGGGGACGGGGACGGGCGAAGAACATCTCTTATAATCCATGACACTGTTAGGTCACTAAAATTAATGAATCTGAGACACATCTCTAAAGATTTGATACCTTACCAATTACAGGAAAAATCCAAAAATACACCTAAGCTGACCATTGCATAAAGTTAGTGCTGGATCAAAGATTAAAAGGCTTTTTGCTATTTTGAACTTCAATGGGCCAAGGCTTACAGATTCTACTGGAACTCTACGGACAATTTTGAGGGCAGATCTTTTAAGATGCCTTGGTTCTGTAATTTAAGTAATTTTTCGGTGGCTTTTCACTTCTCTCAATCTCAGTGTGACTTAACCGCTCTCAATCTCAATTTTCTTGTCTTTACAATGTGGGTAATTATAGTACCCACTACATCAAGCTGCTGAGGAAATTAGATGAGATGATGTGTGAAAGTGCTTATAAGAGTGCTTAACACACAACTATTCAATAAATGGCAGCTATTACTATCTTTTCTGATACTAGTTATAATTTAGAAGGCCCTGCTAGTGGAATTTGAATTGAAATAACAACTCAGGGGATTACATCTCTCAAAAGCAAAGCACATTAAATGTTTAATGAGAAACCTGTGGATTTACAATTTATCCAACAGCAAACAGCAGTCTCTGAGATGCTAAGAGTTTCCAGGCAACCAGGGCCTGGTACTTTTACTGCTGAGCGAGGAGGCTGCAGTCCAGCAGCCTGGGAGCCCAACGCTGTCCTGGGCAGCTGTCCAGGGGCCTTTAATACAATCAACATCTCAGCTGCAAAGTGTATGTGCCTGAAAGACATCCCATATCTCGGGGTGGTAGAACTATAGCTGTGGGAGTTAGAAATCTGTGACAATTATAGAGGTGGAAGCATATTGATGCAAGATACCCATTATCAGATGATAACACCTCTTACAGATGTAAGGGAAGATCAATACAATAGTACAAAACATAAGAGTATAAGGAAAAGCAGAAATCTCAAGAAGTTTGCCAAGCATCAGGAAAAATTTGAAGATGTGTTTTCAAGGGAAATGTTGAGGATTTTTGAGGCTAAACCTTTCTTAATCATCATAGCATACATGTCTGCTGTTATTGGCACTTATTTATCCGCATGTGATAATGGATAGTTCAAGAGACAAATCCACAAAACAACTATGTTTGTTTTTTAAAAAGGAAATAAGGACAACTAATGCCTTTCTTAAGCACTGAATCACTAAACAGCCAATAATCAGAAACATGACTTTCTGTGAAATCATTAGCAATGCAAATGAATGCACAGTTGCTCTTGAAGATAGGAGACTATATCTAATTGATATTAGTAAACTTTAAATGAGATTTTGAGGAATGTAATAGCCATTCCATTTTGGGAAAGGTTTTTTGTTTTTATGACCAAATTATAACTGAAAGCTCAGAACTATTTTTATTATTTAAAATAGCTTTAAATGCACATACAAATGCACCTGCGCGCTGCTCGCGTGCACACACACACACACACACACACACACACTCTCTCTCTCTCTCTCTCTCTCTCTCCAAGAGAGTAAACACTTACTGTCACTTCATTCATGCTCAGAAGCTTGGGGCTGGGTGGGAAGGTGCCAAGACGATATTTGAAACCTTCTTCTAAAGTCATTCCCCAGAATTGACTATAGTTCTGGGCTGTCCATCTGCCTTACAAATGAAAGAGAATAATATGTACAGGTTATATAATAACACTTTTATAAGTGCATGTTCATTTATATTTCAGAAATTATATAAATGCAAAGCTCACAAAATTGCAACTATTATTGCAAGCTAGATTTATTTTTATATAAGTGATGCAATATTGCTTACTCAAGTAGTGAAGTATTTGCTACACTCTTCCTAAATTAGGCATATTTCAATATGAGAAACCTAAGGCTATACCAATATAGACTAAATTTAAGAATATAAAATATATATAAACTGTATAGGGATTAAGTGGTAATAAGGCCAAATGTGCAGTTTTGAAAAAATGTCTTTAACTGTGTTTTAAATAGAAGTTTGAATGTGTAAAAAATATAGATTAAATGCAGCAATCTATTTTATTTATAATTTAGACTTGAAAAGAAGTTGAACACATAAAAAGCAGTACCCATAAAAATTGATAAAATAGGTATTCTTTAAAAGATTGCATCAATGCTAGTTTTATTGAAATATTTTCTTTAAATATTAAGATACTCTATCATGTTGAGTTAATTTGTGTTAAGTGCTCAATATTAGTTATTATTAGTAATTAATACTTATAATATAAATTCAATTGGTGTGAAATTAAATAACAAGAAAAGTGAATCTCTTTCTAGAGACGTATTTGGTGCCCTTACATAGAAAAAGAAGCTTTGTTTTCAAGTTCTAATATTGATATTTGAAGACAACAAAAATTCCTGAATATTAGGAGATGAAAAATGAGAAAGATTAAAGTAATTTAATCATTGCTTGTTTGAATAATCTGAAAATTGAGGGCAATATATTTTCAGTACTTAAATCTAAACTTTTTCTGTTGTGTTTATTACCAAATTGTTTATAATGTGATAGGCTATTATGAATGATTGAAGATAAAACTCAATTTTCAATAATATGCTTAGCAGGTTAATGCTTTTCTTTTATAAGATCTGCTAGTTCATAAAACCTTAAACAACTTTAAACCGTAATTGTGAAGTGCAATCTCCATCACCCAAGGAATTTCAATAAGAAACCCTCTGACTATATTAGGTATTGCAGCATTATTTAAGAGACTAACAGAACAAGCCTTAGGCAAAATCACAACATCGTAAAGTATGTTTTTGGTGCCCTACACTAGTAGTTTCTATACATTCAGAGACACTGTGGGCCATTTATTTAATCCCTAAGTTTAGTGAGCAGGGGTCAGTATTTTAAAAAATAAAATAGAACACAGGAGAAATAATAGGAATTATTAGAATTTACTGCACACAATGAGTCTACCGGTTAAGTACTACTTATAAACATCTAGGTGTGTGTGCGCGTGTGTGTGTGTGTGTGCATGTGTGTGTGTGTGCATGTGTGTATGTGTATGTATGTACTAGGTCACTGAGTTAAATGTATGTTTTGATGTGACTTAAGCTCTAAAAATATGTGAAACACGACTGTCCTATACGATCCTCTTTTGACCTTGACTCCTCCATTCCTTCTCATTCACTTTAGCATTTACTGAGCATTCTTAATTTATCTATCGGATTCCCCCGTAAACACTGGCAATATTAAAATAAGTAAATGCATGCACCCTTAAGGAGTGCATACCTAAAAAGACAACAAAGACAGAAATGATTTCAGTATTTGTCATTTTAATAGCAGTAGGTGAAAGTGTGACCAGAGTAGAGGATTCATGAGATAGCTCAGCCTGAAGGAGTAGGTACAGTTTTTTACAGGAAGTGAATCTAGTGCTCAGTCTGCAAGGCAGCGAATAAGTTTGGTGGCTGGATGTGAAAGAAGAGAGCATTTATTCTGATAGAAGCAACTCCGGAACACAGCATGTGGGTTTGAAATTGGGTGGGACATTTATGGAACAGCAGATAAATTAAATGCTTAAATTATGAGAGAGACTAGGGAAACAGGCTGGAAAAAGTATAAAAGGTGATGCAGTAAAGAAGCATTTGGCTCATATGGTTATTTGTACTAAGGAGTATAATTCTATTTTATAAGCAATGGAGTGCCTTTGAGGATTTTTAGAATGTGAGCAGCAAACATTTGTTTTAGAAGGATAACCATGACAGTATCAGGGATTGGTTGGTGTTTGGTCAGCCTAAAACTGGGGTCATTTCAAACTAGGTTTCATAAACAAATGCACTAGAATATAGCAAAAGAATAGAGAAAATAAATATTAATAGATATGTGGGAATTATAAGAGCCTGGTGACTGAGAGGGAAGAGGAAAGAAGAATCAAACTAACTTCAAATTTTCTGGGTTGGTTAACAAGGTACAGGAGGATCCCAATAATCAAGAAGAGACCAAAGAGGCTAATCTTTTAAGTTTGGGGTAAGCTGGTTTTGAAAAAAAAAAAAAAAGGAGAAAAATCAAGGCCAACTTATCCAACAGACTAGACCAGTGATGGCGAACCTTTTGAGCTCGGCGTGTCAGCATTTTGAAAAACCCTAACTTAACTCTGGTGCCGTGTCACATATAGAAATTTTTTGATAATTGCAACCATAGTAAAACAAAGACTTATATTTTTGATATTGATTTTATATATTTAAATGCCATTTAACAGATAAAAATCAACCAAAACAATGTCCGCCACCAACCACTACCCACCCCCAGATGGAGGAGTGAGGCCATCTCAGCCAATTCAGTCTCAGATGAGGTCCCAGATGTCTGTAGACAGATGAGTAAACCCAGGAGATACCAGCAAAGAGCCTCAGCTAAGTCCACCCAAATTGCTGATGTGGACTAATGAAAAGCGTGTGGTTTTCAGCTGCTAAATTCTGGAGGGTTTTGTTTGTTTGTTTGTTTGTTTTTGTGTGTGTATGCATGTGTGTGTGTGTGTAGCAACAGGCACCTGGAACAGTTATCAATATCCATTTGTTCCACTAATAATGGTAATTATTACTTGTGCCACTAAACTGTCACTTATATACTGCCCTATCACTAGAAATCCTTCTGCAAAATATGACATGTTGACTCCTCAGCTAGCGTGTAAATTTCTTTAAGACAGAAATACTTTATTTGTATCCTTAGCAGTGCCACCAAAGAAATATATTATGTTAATATTAATTGATTGCATTAAAAATAATACAGGGAATACATAAGCACTGAAGTAGGTTATGTAGAATGAATAAAGACTTGGATCCAATATACTACTATGATGCAAGAAATAAATATTTTAAGGAAAAGATTGTGTATATTTGTATGTAAAGCATTTAATAAATCATGAATGATATATAATGCATTTTTTTAAAAAAACCTAGAATACATGCCCTTGACCAGAATCAAACCTGGGACCCTTCAGTCTGCAGGCCGACACTCTATCCACTGAGCCAAACCAGTCAGGGCTATAATGCAATTTTCACACTTGAAATAACTTGGACATAAGGAACAGAAAATTAGAACTTTCCTTTAAATTCAGACTTCCTTCCCCCCCGCCTCCCAATTCCCCTCAGTAATTAGTTTTACTCCTTTTTTCATAGTTTGTTGTTTTTTTAATTGTTTAAAGTATACATATGTCTCCTTTTCCCCCAATTGATGACCCCTCCTGCCACTCCTACCCCCAGGGCAAGCCCCCACCCCTCCAGTGTCGATGTCCATTGGATATGCTTATATGCATGCATACAAGTCTTTCGGTTGATCTCTTATCCCCTTCCCCTTCCCAACCTTCTCTTTGAGGTAGGATGGTCTGTTCAGTGTTACCTTGTCTCTGGATCTATTTTTGTTTATCAGTTTATGTTGTTCATTATCTCCCA